TCTGGCCAAGGAAGCTGCGCTAAAGTCCAAACGCAGCTTTGACTATGACAGCTGCCCGGTTTCATTCATCAGGCGAAGCATTCGTATGCGATCGCTTGATGAATGGAACCAACGATACCGGGCTGGTGAAACAGCCGGTGTCACCGGGTCTTTTTCCCGGACGCGATAGCCGCATACCGTGTCATCGGTAAAATAAAGGTGGACAGATTTGTCACTCAGGTATTGTCGGGGCACGGTGGATTCTCCGAGTACTTGCATCGTTTCAAGTGTAAGGAGAGTCCATCGTGCGTCTGCGATCCTGCGTGTTCGGAGTCTGTTCTCCACGTCCTCCTGGACTGCCCGGCCCATGACCGTGAGAGGCAGGAACTGGAGTTCTTATTGGACTGCAAACTGGAAGTAAGTACGCTTCCGGATATTGTACTGGGTAAAAATAGAGACTTGTTCCTCAAATTTTGTATAAAACAGTGCATAGCTGTAAATAAAAGAAATAGAGTGTAAGTTATGCTAAGTAATTATATTCATATATAAATATATTAGCATAAATTAATTGTAATTAGGAACATAGTTTTAAGTTAGCATTAATGATGATGTAATTAAAGTTTTATTGTTCCCCCCTTCACTGTCCCCGCCCCCCTTTGTGTTTCAATTAGAATGTAAGTACACTATGGCCTTCAGCCCATGATTGAAAGATGATGTAAGCGAGATGAAAATGGGATGCTGAATGGCTGACGAGCAGAGTATAAGATATGATGTATGAAAGAGTTTTGAAGATAAATAAACAAATAAGGTAAAAAAGACAAATTAAAAACAGTCTCCCAAAGTTTCAGGGAGGTTTTAAAAAAAAAAAAAAAAAAAAAAAAAACCTAACCTAACCTAACCTAACCTAACCTAACCCAACCTAACCTAACCTAACCTAACCTAACCTAACTAACCTAACCTAACCTAACCTAACCTAACCCACCACCTAACCTAACCTAACCTAACCTAACCTAACCTAACCTAACCTAACCAGTCTCGCGTCATCCGCGGTCCCGAACGTCACGAAAATATGACGCTCCGCAAATAAAAATTCGGGAAAGTGGTAAAAAGTTGTGTAATAGTGACTTATTATATATCAAAAGATGCGTAATTTTACGCTCTTCACCGTGGTGGAAACAGATTGAAGCCGAGATTCTTGTGAAAAAGTTATACTTGAAAAAGTGACTAAAAATTAACATTTTCGTGCCCGCTCCTGATTTTTGATCGAGGACGTATACTTTTTAATTTTGTAATTAGTGTATATATGTAAGTTCTACGTTTGTGCCAAATTTCAAAATTTTTCTATGCGGAAAACCGGAGTTATTAACATTTCAAAATACACGTGGTCGGTGATCTTAAGTTAGAGTAACGTGCTATACATCAAAAGACGCGGATTTTGATGCTTTATAATATAGTGAAAACCGCACAAAGCGGCGACTTTAGGAAAAAAAGTTATTCAAAAAAAAGTGATTGAAAATTTATATTTCCTGCCCTACACCTAATCAGTGACATGCATTGTACAGTTTTTATCAGTGGAATAAGTGTATACGCGTAATATCTAAGATCTCACCAAATTTGACAATTTTCTGTGCAGGAAAAACCTATTTTCCAGCGGTTTTCCGTAAACCACGTGGTCGGCCATTTTGAAAACCAGAAGCGTGCGGCTGGTTCCAAAACTGGATTTCGAAGGACAATCAACAGGTGAACTCATTGTTATGAACAGTTTTTCCAACAATCGCACCGTTTTGACATAAATAGACTTTTTACCCTTATTAATCAATGTACTCCAACTTTCAAAATTCTATATCTATAGAAGGAATACTCCTAAAATTCTGTTCTAAGTGTTAATAGATAGCGCATATCACACACTACAAACCCTCAAAATTTCAAAATTTTACATTTAATAGTTCAAAAGTTGCAAAAGTTTTCCATAATTTAAAAATAGTTTTCCGCTCAAAATGTGCAATATTTCTACATTCAGACCTAAATATCTCGCAAACGGTGCAAGATAGCTCAATTTTGAGGCCAGTTTTGGCGGGTATATATAATATATTATATATATATAATATCTCTGTGTGTGTCTGCGCTTAAATAAACGTATCGTGACATAACTTCCGGCAAGATAAAATGATTTTCCTAATGAATAATAATTTAAAAAAGCCAGATATCGACTTTAGTGGTGCGCTTTAAGGTGGATCTATGCCCATCATTGCTGCAGGTGTATGGTGAATGAAAGAAATATAAGATTTTATGTTTCAAACCTAATATTATTCTGCTTCTTAATCATCTTAAACAGACGACTGCTGAACTTGGGTTCACAATAATCGTCATGCTTGGCTGGCGCTTCTTCAATAATTATTTATGGTGCGTCATGACGCTTTCATGCATTTTACTTGCTTCCCTCTGTTGATAATTCAGGTTTAGCATATATGAGACTGTCATACTACCGTTACGTTTAATTGTTTTTTTTATTTATACATTCATGTAAACTCGGGCCTGTTCCACGGCCTCATTACGCTTTTCGTCACTTCATTTTATTTTTCTCAATCGAATGTAACTGGAGTGAAGCCACGGTCTATAGAATATATATATATAATATATTATATATATATAATATATTATATATGGTCCCCCAGACCTTTGGAACCCCCCCCACCCCCCACCCCCTAGGACTAAGTTGATAATTTAATATGTGTGAAAACTTAATATTACTGTGTGTGTAGACTTTGAGACTCCTAAATGTTACGACGCCATAGTGCTATTATCGCAGTTTCCTTCCGAAGTGGACAATCCCCCCCCCGATTACGCCCCCTCCGAGAATTAGACGCTCAAATCAAAACTTAATGACCTGGACAATAATTGAAATTTTAAGACTCTATGTGAAAGTGTAGCCATGCCTGCGACTCAGGGAGACCCCCCTGCCCTCCCGGCCACGGCCGAGGAGGTCAGAGACTTTGATACATTCATCTCTGTGATCAACAAGCTGACTTCATGTGTCAGCTCAGCAATAAATGAGGGAAAAAGTGTAACTGCGGTGAATAAGCGCCTGATTAGTCTGGCCATGGAGGAAATCCGCCGGGCTGCCCGAACCCTAAACAGTGTTAACACCATCGCCTCTCCCAGCGCATCAGCCCTGGGGGAAATTAAAGAAGAAATCGTGGCCTGTGTCCGCGAGGAGATGACTGGTTTAAGGAAACTGGTCAACACAGTGAAAAAACCAACCTACGCCCAGGCTGTCTCTGCGGCCAGTGGGGCTTCTACATCTGTGGGAGGGCCTGCCCCCCGCACCGTACCAACTATCTCAAAGCCTGCCGTAATCATCACCCCGGCTAAAGATGTTAAAACGCGTCAGGAGGCTGTTGAATTATTTAGGAAAAGTATATCATATAGGAACTCCACTTATGCACCGACTAGGGTTCAACCCGTATCCAACAACAAACTCCGCGTGGAGTTTGAAAATGTCTCACAAAGGGATGACACGCTCACAAGGCTAGAGAATAGCAAGGATGTCAAAGCAGAACCCGTGCGTATGCTTAAACCCATGGTTATTCTTAAGGGCATATCCAAGGATGTTCCCTCGGAGGACCTGGTTAAGTTGATCAGCAAGCAAAACCCTGAGATATCCCATTTGATTGAGGGTGAGGGTCGTAACGGTGAGGGCCTCCGACTCCGCTTTAAGCGAGGTAATCGCAATAGTAATCTATATAACGCGGTTTTCCTGGCAGAGGCCAAGGTATACCGTAAGATTCTCGACTTAGGGAGGGTCTGCGTGGATCACCAGAGAATAACCGTGGACAGCTTTTCTCCGTTGTTGCAGTGCCACAAGTGCCTTCAGTTCGGACACATGAGGTCCAAATGCACCGCCACCGAAAGTATTTGCTCGCACTGTGCTGGCTCCGACCACCAGGTGGACAAATGCCCTGTGAAAAATGAGCCTGGCAGCGTCAAGTGCTATAATTGCACTTCTCACAATGCCAGATTTAAATCCAACCAAGACTGCAAACATACCGCTAATTCCGATAAATGTCCCAGACTGCGAGCCATGAAAGATAAAATAAATCAAAGAGTCGACTATGGATTTGCACCATAAAAACATAAAAATTTTGCAGTGCAACATTGATAGATCGAAAAGCAGTCTTCATGAACTACTTGTGTCTTTCATGGCTGGCAGCCATGACATCGCATTAATTTCTGAACCATATGTTGGCTCGGATCTGGAACTTAGAGCTGTTCACGGTGTTCAAATAATACAGTTCCCATCACTGGAAACAAGGGTCAAGGCCTGCATTTTGGTCAGGCCAGGATGCGGCTCCATTATGGGGCTCACACAGTATTCCACACCTAATCTCTGCGTAGCACGCCTCTCTGCCGGGAACCGTGTTATATATATAGCTTCAGTGTACATCGAACCAGATAGAGATGAATCAGCCACTCTGGACAAATTGGATGCCTTTCTTAAGGCAACCGGCGACTCACCTAAAATTGTTGGGGGGACTTCAATGGCTGGCATCCCATTTGGGGTAGCCCAGTCGCCAATGCTAGGGGTGGTGACGTGGTCGATCTGGTTTATGGTAACGAGTTGGTTGTCTGTAATGTTGGCGATTCGCCCACGTTCGAGACGATCACTCACGGCCGGCACCGGGATTCGATCATAGACATTACACTAGCATCTGAATCGATATACCATCTCGTATCGGAATGGCAGGTCAACCCCCAGATATGTACCTCATCTCAACACCACGCTATTGAATTTTACCTAAACAGTCCTAATTCTGATTTGTACACTAACAATAACACATCCACCTTCATTTATAAATCGAAAAAAAGCCTGTTGGCCTTTATTTAATGAAACTCTTCACTTACACTTAACACAATCTGATATCTTGGACATTAATATATCTGCCCTGAATCCCTCCGAGTTGGATGACCTCATAGCCAAAGTTGTGGAAATTATCCACATTGCCTGCCGTAAAAGTATGCGGATGAGAGGTAAGGGAGGGAAATACAAGCCCCCTTGGTGGTCAGAAGAACTAGAGGCTCAGAAGCTCGAGATAATAAAATTGCATCATCGCATACAGGAGGCAAAGAGACGCGGTCTAGCCATAGAGGACTTAGTTCAGCAACACATGACTCTCAAAGCAGCATATGCACAAAACTTAAGAGCTGAGTCCACAAAAAGCTTTAGGGATTTTTGCAGCCTTCAAACCAAGGAGAATGTCTGGTCCCTGACTAATAGACTATTAAAAGAGTCCACTGCTAGACGCCCACCTACCACCTTAAAAATAAATAATAAGTTCACTGCGGACAATTATGAAACTGCAACTGCACTGCTTAACCATTTTTATCCTCCTGATCTACCAGACACTGACCCCCGTCATCACGAGCTGACTGCCCACCTCGATGACACTTTGGACACCAATGATGAACCACCCTTCACTTCAGAGGAGGTGCTGGAGCACTTGAGTCTAATGAACCCCAATAAGGCTCCCGGGTTAGACAATCTAACTTCGGATATTTGCCTGCAGTTCACAAAAAACTATCCGCGACTTATAACTGACATTATGAACAGGTGTCTGGCGCTTCAGCATTTTCCTGACTGTTGGAAGGTGGCGTATGTTAAAATTATCCCCAAACCAAGTAAGAGTGATTATGGTGAATTAAACTCTTTTCGTCCCATCGGATTGCTTCCTGTGTTTGGCAAACTGTTGGAAAGATTGTTTATCAAGCGTGTCACCTTTTGGGCCGCTGGCAACAACCACAGCTGCCAACGGCAGTTTGGCTTCCGCGAGCAAACAAACACAACCGCGGCCATTAACTCTGCGCTCGGCGTTATTCGTCGGGCCAAGGAAAGTGGGGAGCTGGTGATCGCACTATCATTGGACATCAAAGCGGCCTTCGACAATGCCTGGTGGCCGGCACTATTCCACAGGCTGAGGCTGATGAACTGTCCTCACAACATCTATGGACTCATTTGCAGCTACGTTCGAAACCGCGTGGTGACTCTCGATCATGCCGGGGTCAGGGTCACCAAGATGATGACTAAGGGATGCATCCAGGGTTCCGCCTGTGGCCCGGTGCTGTGGAATATCATTCTTGATGAGCTCCTTGAAGAGGAACTTCCGGCAGGTTGCCATATACAGGCGTTCGCAGATGACGTGTTCCTTGTCGTGTCAGCCAAAGATGTCCACCGGCTTGAGAGTGCGACTAACACTGCGCTCTCTCGTATCACTGCATGGGGATCAAGTGTAAAATTGGTATTTGGTCCCTCCAAAACTCAAATGATCGCGTTCACACCTGGTGCAAAGACTGCAAAAATCACTATGAACGGACACACATTAAAATTCTCTTCTGATGTCAAATTGTTGGGTGTCATGCTGGATGAAAAACTGCTATTCAATAAGCACATCCAGTATGTCATCGGTAAGGCGACAAAAATTTTTAATAAACTTTGCCTATTTACACGGCCTACTTGGGGTGCACACCCGGAGAACATACGCGCTATATACCATCAGGTAATTGTACCTATTGTGACATATGCTGCTGGTGTATGGGGGCACGTCGCTTCCAAGAGAGGAGTCAGAAAGCGGCTGGAGAAAATGCAGAGAGGATTCGCCATCAAGGCGATTAAGGCATTTCGTACCGTCTCCACATCGGCTGCTCTGGCCCTCGCCGAATTTACACCAATCGACTTAAAAATTCAGGAGGTTCATGCGGTGGAAAGGACTAGATTGTCCTGCACGTCAGACTTTCTACCGCATGACATAACTTATGAAAAGCCAACACAATTACACGAACTTTTGCACCCCAGTGAGAGGATCACCATTCAACATGACACACTACATAGCCAGCGGGAGGTGGATGCCGCCATCAGTCCTGACTCGGTCTGTATATATACAGACGGTAGCAAGCAGGAGGACGGGGCTGTTGGGGCGGCCTTTGTTGCCTACGTTCCCGCGGGTGACTCACCCAACACTGTAGTTAAAAAATTCAAACTCATGCTCCGTATTTCAGGCTGAACTGCTAGCCATATTTAAGGCTTGCAACTGGACCCTTAACAATAATCACATCCAAACTGTTTTATTTTCCGACTCTCTTTCTGCTATAAAGGCTATACAAAACCGAAGTAATACTCACCCTATAGTGGTTGAAATACATAAAACAATTCATGAAATTAGGAAGTCTGGCTGCATTAAGATAGTATGGGTGAAAAGCCATGCGGGTATTGTGGGAAATGAAATGGCGGACATGGCAGCCAACGCTGGCTGTAAACTACACAAAACACCAGACTACGCACACTTTGCCATCTCGTATACAAAACATTTAATACGCACTAAACACCGGGCTCTATGGCAGACCCGTTACGAGAGTGCAGAACAGGGCAGACACACTAAAACACTCCTCCCCACACTTGATGACATTACCACACTCAACAAAATCACCTGTCCTGACTTCTACTTAACCCAAGTTCTCACCGGTCATGGCTTTCACAAGTCATATTTATATCGGTTCAAAATCACTCCTGATGACAGATGTCCTTGTGATGATATTACGTCCCAAACGCTGGAACATCTGTTGGAAAAATGCCCCGCGTTCGGTACACAGAGAGCCACCCATGAGATATTATGTGCCAATGTGAGAGTGTCACCCTATAAAATAGTTGATATAATGAAAAAAAGAGTCCAGTTGGAACTCTTATGTAACGTTTGTTAAATATATATTATCACGCCTTAAAAGGTTCAATGTTAATAATTAAAAATACATTAACTTATACAGTTTATATTTTTCTCTATTTTTATTTCACGTCCATCATGTTTTTATTTTATACTGTCATATCTCGGCATAACATAAATTGTATATATTAATTCTGTCTAGTTTTAAGATTTTCTGTAAAAAGAATTTTTTTTTGTTTTTTTTTTCTGTTTGTTAAGTCAGTAAGTTTTGTTTTATATCCCATTTTACCTGTTATTTCTTGTTAACAATTAAGGTCCAATATCAATAATTTGGTACACATTGATTCATATTTTGTATATATTCTTCATCTTTACTTCACGCTCATTTAGTTTTATTTTATATTATCACAACATCATTCTTCTTGTATCTTAGCTGTTAATTGTCTCTTATCATATGTATAGTATTTTATAGTATATTTAGGCTAATATTACATCTTATCTTTATTGTAACTCCTTATTACATTAAGTTGCGGCGACGTGAGACTAACGAATCCAGTTTTTTAGTATAGTGAAATTGTAAATTTGAAAAATTGAAAACTAATTCTTTGATATTAAAGTGTACCAACTGTAGCAATTATTATACCTGTATATTACTGTAAATTTTTTTTTAATATTAATAACATTTTTTTCCCTTTCTTTCTATATTGTTTTCTACCATTTAGTTAACTATTCAAAAATGTAAATATAAGCTCTCAATGACAGTGTACCCACCGCAAAAAATATTTGTTTTAGTATAAGTTGTCTTATGTTTTATGTGCTTTTACATTGTTAATCCTTAAATTTTTTTTCACTCTTCTAAATACAAATGTATATATTTTGTTTTTCTTCTTCTACTACTTTTAAGCGAAATGTACATTGACTGTATCCAATCGCAGTCAATTTGTATAATTTTACTTGTGAAACATTTTTATGATAAGTGGTGTTTACTTTTAAGCAAATTTTGTGGAAACAGATAATACAATCCCTCTGGAGGTGGTGTAACCCCCGGAGGAAAAAAAAAAAAAAAAAAAAACCTAACCTAACCTAACCTAACCTAACCTAACCTAACCTAACCTAACCTAACCTAACCTAACCTAACCTAACCTAACCTAACCGAGTTGCACTCCAAACGCCGTGCCGTACGCAGCAATTTTATATCGCTCCGCGCTCGAAAATTCCAAGTGTTGGGTCAAAGTGCACCAATTTTAAAGATTTATATACCGTTTGACGCGTCTGGACGAGACGAATACAGTGATATAATAAAAAAGTGATAAAAGTGTAATATTTAAAAAGTTATCACCAAAAAACAGATTTTCATAACCTCCAAAACTGTTATTGTGTAACGCCGCTCGATTAAGATCGAAGACCTATAGTTTTTATAGTGTGAAAAGACGCGCCCTGATTAGCTTAAGAGATTAGGCTAAACAGAAAAAATTTTCGACGCCAGCGCACCGAAATATTGGGGAAAAACCAAAACCACGTGGACACGTGCTTTTTGGATAGGAGGCCGTGCGGCTAATTTTGACGTCGGCATATTGAAGAGGACATCAAGCCAAAACGTTTGACACCTCGATTGTCAAAATCGGACAGGAAACACAGAAGATATAACACAGAGAATAACAAAATTTCAGTTGAAAATTTCACAAGTGAATTTCTCTGAAATTTCAGCGACGACATATGTGTTTCTTGTGCTCAGTCGGATATGCAATCCAGGACCTAACAAAGGACATCAAAAACTAAATTTTTGGAGTGTAAATAGAAAAGTAAGGAAATTTTTTATTATTAAGTGTAAACACGTGGTGTCCTGAAAGTGCTGCTGAAAATTCTGAAAAAATTCCATAAAATAAGGCATACCTAATCTTAGCTTCCAAATTTTTTTCAAAATTTTCCCTTTAATATTTTTCGAATTAGACGCTTTTTGCGGTTGTTGGTAATTGTAAATCGATTTTCAAAATTAAAAAACTTAAAAAATTTTAATAACAAAAATTTTTCTAAATTAAGTGTATGATAGACAATTTATTTAGCTATCTGCACTATTTTTTTCGGAATTTTTGAGGCAGCGCTTTCAGAGATAGGAATTTATTTGTTAGAGCTAGGAGATCCTGAAAACTGCACGATAACTGTGTTTTCAGTTTACGGGAAAACGGAGCCTCCTAGCTCAATTCTGACGAAATTTTCCTTCGCCCCCCCCCCCGTCACCCCCCCCCCACACTATCCAGAAGCCGGATAGTCTTCGACCCCCACCGGATCATTTGGTGTGATTTTCAACCCCCTACCCCTAAGTTGACTCCTGGACTTTGTCTCTGGGGGATGAAAAACTTAAAATCGTCATAGCAAGCTAACTAGTGCTCCGATTCGGACCGGGTCTTTTGCAAAAAAATAATACAATCAAAGAGCTAACAAATTTTGGGGGGGAGGACTCTATGTAGAGCACTTAAAATATAATTGTGTTTTTTTTTTTGTGGTTTTTGTTCTCTGTATTTTATTTAACATTAATCTTTAGAAATTAAGTAACCTAACACGGTATAACTGTGAAATACATAGAGTGGGATTGAGATAGAGACGACTCTACGTAGAGAGAAGTAAACTTTTAAGATAATTATTTTAAAATATTTCCTAACATTTTTAAATTGAAATATATAATAAGACCAGACTCTGGGTAGAGCCATTTTACTTTATTTTATTTTTCTTTTTATTTTTCTTTTATTTTATTATGCGCTTGTTTTCCCACTCTATTTTCATTTACATTAGTTTTTATAAAGATACTCTACATAGAGTCATACGGAGATCAAATACCTTTATATTATTATTTAATAAAAATAATTTGGTAGAGCTGGACTCTACCTTATTTTACTTTTGA